GCAGGCTAGATTTCTTTTGATTGCTGATTCTTTTGAATACCTTCAGAACTCTGCCCACTTTATCAAGAGTATTCGTCTAATTATCCTAAATATATATTCAATCCTTTAAATTCTTAGTAATTTATCGCTTTACATGTGCGTCGATGGCACAGTGGTTGGGGCGCTTGCCGATCATGCACATGGTTCGGGGTTCGATCTCCAGCCACTGGCCGATGCACTCCTTTACCTCGCTAAGCCAGAAATAATACTGGTAAAGAGGAAAGGTTGGGCATGAGGCTGGCTAGCAACCCCATCCTGTAGAAATAAACACTGCTACAGAAACTTCAAGCTACTAGCTTGGAGCTCTATGTTCCACTGGGAACGTGAAGCAAAAATTAAAGTTATTACATCATCCCGGAGTTATGTTACTTATAGTTCCTATCACAAGTACTCCTTTGTATCGCTAAAAGTGTAATGTTCAAACAATCTTTGTATTGTTCAGATTGTAGGCAGTTGAAAGGTATCCAAGAAATAATAAAAGAATGAGGTAATGTTATCCCAATAGACATTTATTGTTCTCCTCTACTGCTAAACTTTACTAATAGCGAAAATTAAATGAAGTTATTAAACACTTTGCTGGAACACTAAGTAGTAGTAACTACTCTCACAGATATCTAGACCTTTATTTAGTGCAGACTGAATTCCATCAGTCAAGTTTACAATGTGGCCGCCGTATCAGTTGGCTTGCTGAGGAATACCTACAAACACGAAACCTGGGTCAGGCAGGGTTTCCTTCCGATTCCCTCCAACAACAATTCGATAGGTCTCTAAATCCCTGTCTTTGTGATCTGGTTGATTTCAATGAAGATATCATACATCACGAAATGGTGTCAGAGAGAGAGGAAAGATCCATAACGTCATCAGGAACCCAAACTTAGTCATCTGGCTCATCATATATAGGATTCCTTCAAAACATTTATTGAAATCGCTTGTGACAAGCGTTTATTAAGTCGGTAAATCTGAGAATATTCAGTTAATGAATATATGTCCAGAACTAACGCACTGTGATAGTGTGCAATTCCAAAGTTATGTCTTGATTAGATGTATAACACATAGAGTTAAACAGTATTATTTACTGAGTGAGCAAGTTCCAAACACAATTCATTATTGGTTCCAGGATTTCATCATGAGCTGACATTGGTTAGAGAACCATTGGAAAACCAGCTTGGAGTACCGGACAGCTGTTTCCATTGTCCTAGTTTGGGACTCTCCATCAGTACCCATCCAACTCTGGGGTTCGAACCCAGTACTCCCAGCTGGTTTACCAATGGTTCTCTAACCAATGTCATCCCAGAAGGCCCTGGGTTCGAACCCCGATGAGTGCATACTGATGGAGAGTACCAAACTAGGACAATGGAAACACCTCTCCAGTACTCCCTGACTGGTTTTCCAATGGTTCTCTAACCCATATCAGCTCATAATGAAATCCTGGAACCAATCAATCAAACCCTTACAAACCAATACTTGAATACAATTCATTATTGTTCAGATTCATATCACCAATTGTGCTTTCTTTGTTCCTTCCTGTTCATCGTCAAGGATAGTAGAATCTTCCAGATATCCGGATGGACAGGTGTTTAAATCAATCCGACTGCACGGTTTCCCAGTGGATTCGATCAGTGAAATTTCCGTCATCGATTTTTCTCTCCCTCTGTCTCCCCAACGTGTTATGTTAGATCTTTAGATTGTCATCTTATCCCATCCTATTTGGTGGTTGTGTGTAGTTGTATGTAGTACTATAGCAGAGGTATTCTGCAGATTTCTTATCTTATTCAGGTCAAAATAATCTAGATTTTGCTAGTATTTTCTTTGTACCACTAATAATTTAAATTCCGTATTTTTGGGTGTTGTCACCATTCCGTGTCATTATTAATACTATTATTATTATTGTTGCTAACAGTATTACCACCCTAATGATTAATAATTTTACTTTGAGTCATGAGCGAAAAAAAAAGAAAGTAAATAGAGAAGAAAATTTGCTTTTCAACGATTCATCTCCATAAGCTGTACAATCGTATTCATATATATTTAACAAAAAATTCATAAGACCAATCAGATAATGGTAAAATTCGTCGTCTAAAACATATTATGTAATGTAAGGTGTAATCCAGAGGGGGACGACTAAATAGACATTGGGAAAAGTGGGCCAGAAGTTGGGATGACATAACCAGGGAGAAACAGCCTCCTTTACCTGATGAGGATATCAAAAATGACGATCAAGAAAGCAAGACAAGCTTTCATTACTCTCAAGTCTGTATGGAAGTCAACAGCACTCAGAAGGAAAAATAGGATCCAGATTTTCAACTTCAATGTGAAGTCAGTCAGTGCTACTACACAGATCAGAGACTTGGCGCGTCATGAAGGGCACTTCGAACAAACCACAGACCTTCATCAACAGCTAGCTGTCTTTGCTCAATACTACTCAAATTCATATGGCCTGCCTGAAAGTATCAGCGACAGGGATCTCTGAGAGCGAACCAACCGGGAACTGATTGTGCAATGAATAGGCAGGAAGAAATGGAGGTGGATTGGCAGGCCATACTCTGAGGAAACCATCAAGTGAGTGACATCACTAGACAAGCCATTGCTCGAGTGGAACCCGAAAGGAAAGCGGTGACTTTGACGTCCAAGGGTGACTTGAAGAAGGTCATGTGAAGAGGAGGAGGGGAGCATGTGGGCAGACTTGGAGCGGGTGAAAAAGTTGACAGAAAACCGAACGCAACGGAGACACGTGGCCGAAGCCTTACGTTCCTCTAAGAATTAAAGGAAATAATAATAAGTGAGAAGAAATGACCAATCAATATAGCTGTGCAGAGGGAAAAAAACTAATAGTGATAATAGTAATAATGATTTGTAAGGATTAGATTTGTTCCCCCGGGTTTGACCACGGAGTGATATCAATTAGAGAACCATTATAAACCATCACTAGAGTACTGAACAACTGTTTCATCCTAGTTTAGGTATCATTGGCAATACGCTTCCGCTTGAGTTTGGACCCAGAAGCTTCCAGTTACAAGGCAATCTGGCTCATATACCATTCAGCTACTGAGACCCGACTCCTCAGTGGCCAACCCTCGGAATTATAGCTTCTACCAATTCGTGATGCATTTAGTGCGACTGGCACCAGTCAATGTCATCAGTAGGAAATCCATCCTCACACACTTGACTGGTTGGACTTCACTTGCCATGACTTCTCGCTACAACTCCAGGGAACTCCGTCCTGTATCAAGTCACTAGCGAGCATCACATTAATTTTCAAGAATTGGTTTTGTTAAACAAATCTAATCCTTACAAACCAATTGTTTAAAATTAATCTGATGCTCACTAGTGACTTACTACAGTACACCATTGAATCGGGTCCCAGTGGCTGAATGGCATACGAGGCAGCTTGCCTTGTAACCAGAAATTCCTGGGTTCGAACCCCCAGTGGATGCGTAATGCCGATGATTTCCCAACTTGGGCAAAACACCTATTCATTACTACCTGGTTTTCAATAGTTCTCTAAAGGATAATCAATCTGTGATCAACTCGTATATACATGATAAACATGCACGGAACGATGACAACACTAACAATAAAGAATTTGAATCATCAGTAGCATTTCCAAACACGGGTGGAACCTCTGAAACCTAACGTTGCATTTTAAACAATGGAAGAACAGAAATGACATTCAAACCCACAAACTTACTTGGAAGCAAATGTTTTCCGCAGAAGAATCCCGTGGAGCAAATTAAACAAAACAATTTAGTTTATCTAATACCCTGCAATATGTATTAGGTCAAATACATAGGTCACAGTGATAGAAGGAGTTAATCAGACAAACTGAGCACAACAAAACCTAGTAGACCAACAATGTACAATCAATACGATGTTCATTAGTAACTGACCCTATAGAGGAGGTTATCTGGAGTTCTAGGGAGAAGTCCACCAAATCAGGTAAGAGGATATTTACTTTCCCTAATGACATGGTTAGTGGTTGCGCGAAATTAATATACATCACGAATTGGCAGAATTTAGAATTCATCGACTGGTCATTGGTTCAAGTCCTAATGGATGAATTTTCTATGAGCTCGCCTTACAACCAAAAGGTCCTGGGCTCGAATCCCACAGTGTGGGTGCGTACTGCTGATTTTCCAATGGTTCTCTAACTGATGTCATCTAATGATTAGTCATGTAACAAGTGAAATCCCTGTGAAACCAATACTTGAAAATCTAGATTAGTTGATACGAATGAGATAAGAAATCTGCAGAATACCTCAGTTATAGTACTAAGTGAAATTACACACAACCACAAAATAGGATGGGATAAGATGACAATCTAAAGATCTAACATAACACGTTGGGGAGACAGAAGAGGAGAGATAGATCGATGACGGAAATTTCACTGATCGAATCCACTGGGAAACCGTGCAGTCGGATTGATTTAAACACCTGTCCATCCGGATATCTAAAGGATTCTACTATCCCTGACGATGAACAGGAAGGAACAAAGAAAGCACAATTGGTGATATGAATCTGAACAATAATGAATTGTGTTTGGAACTTCCTCACCCATTAAATAATACTGTTTTACTCCATATATAATAACCAAACAAATTAATATAGAATGTATAGCAAATAATTGTTTAAACAATACACTTAGTAGTTTACAAATAATAGTTGTAGTGAGTTTGGGTGTATAGTCATTATCGTTCCAGTCTAACCATTCATAAACTATAAAGGACACCTTTAGGGTCACCACTTCAATGCACTTAACCTGATAGAGCTGTGTAGATTGACAAGGTGTTATTTTTAACATTTTACTTGTGGTTGTCGTGATGTCCTCTTTTCTGTGTATTTTCGAGAAACCCCCACCCCGTCCAAAAAAAAACAACCACCCTCATGAAATTATACTTTCACATACACCTTATCTACCTATGTGCCTAACTATCTTACATATCCTCACGCCTATCTCATTTCAGCCATTTTTGTAACGAACGTTGATTATGGTAAGTACCTATGCATATTTTGAAATATCTCTAATCCTAATGAATTCTCATCACGACAATAATGATTCATTGAGAAAATTATAAGATGACAGGACTTTTATTTGTATGTGTGTGGATTATTCAGAACAATGAAGTTAGGAACTGAATTAATGTTATGGTATGGTATGTTATTTTGATTGATAGTGATTGCCAGTGAAATCGAGCATGTGCGTTTCGTCTCACTTGAGACTCATCACTGGATTTGCCTACCAGATCAATCAGAGGGGAAGGCAAATTAACACAAACAACGCTAAAAACTGATAGCTGTTGCACAAAAGAGTGCTCTCTTGGCTCAACAGACTCATGGATCACGCTTTCGCATTTCAAACAATGACATTGGGGTTCGAGTCTCCCTGAATATGCAGGTATATCAGGCTGACGAGTCCAGTAAAGGAGAGAGTGTACATCTTGGATTCCATTGCTAGTTGTCAACAAGTGAATTTAAGAATATGTCAGTCTTCAAACATTGTCAAAGCGTCGTCACTGCAAGCCAGCAAGTCAACGGAGACCGAGAGTCCTGGTTCAATATCAAAATCAGTCAACAGAGACTTTTATTTGTAGCGGAGTGTTAGAAAATCTTTATATTTCTCAACCCTTCTGAAGACTAGACTCCCAAACGTGGTTATCACTCTCGACCTATCATTAAATTTAATGTTTACCAGAGCTGTTTGAAATCCACACAATAACTATCGCTGTAAATTGTTTAAGATAGTGAAAGCTGCCTCTTCAAAGGACCGCTTTCTCTCTTTTCGCACTTATCTGTGATGATTGATGTTGTGATCAACGATTAGAGTCGTTTTCATTACCACATTTGGTTCGTACTACTCACACTTCAACTGGTCGTTTTATTGACCATATCAGAAAGGCTCTATGGGTAACATTAAGACTTATCTGAGAGACTTAGTAATCACCTTTTATTTGAGCATTACTCAAAGCCAACAGTCCAAAAGTAATCTATTGCTGTTGTTTGTACTTTAGGATGCAAATGTGGCAAATTGTTGAATGGTCTAAAGGGAAATACAACCTAGGGAAGATAACTGATTCACCTTCTGCTGGGATCAGTGACCATAGATAACCATGCTTTTGAGATCTTCTTGTTCTACAGTTTAAATTTACAACCCGAAGTTGTACACTGCCTTCACGTGTACAAGTGTAAATGGAATTCAGTCTTACGTATGTTGAAGTTAGATAAAACCGCCACAAGAATCAGAGCATTGGAAAAGACCCAGAGGACTTAGTATGCGTCAGTGAAATTTAATAGTAATATATAGTCATTAAGAACACAATATTCAGCGAAGAGATTCTTTTCGATGAATTTATTATCAAGCTGTACAATCGTATATATATGGGTTTTCTATAAGAAATTATAACCCCCAAGGCAATTAGATCAAAGTTGTGAATACACGAAATAATAATAGTATGAAATGCAATTGAAATATTTGCGATTATAATCATGGTTCAGTGTCAAGTGGCAAAACAATTAATGTCATATGTAGAATAATACATAAGGTGTACAGATTTTGGAAAGGGGTACATAATTATAACATTAGTAGACGAATATAAAATGTTACATAACATGGTATGAAATTTAATAAGATAGAATTCAATATTGTAAAAATAAAAATTAATAATTTTGGGTTTAGAATGACAAGTGGGTCAAGTGGAAAAGATTCAGAGTGAGAATAATAATAGTAATAATAATCGTAGTAATAAGGGAAAAGTACATAGAATAACTAAATAAACAAAATAAATAAATAAATGTCTATCCCTCTACAGCCAAGGCAGAAGTAGGGATTGTACGTACTTCTTCTGTACACAAAGGTCTGGCTTAAAGTCATGAATTGCCAAGGCCTCAGCTGTCTTTAGAAGTCTGTAACGAAGAAAACGCGAGGAGTTAACATGGATTCTATATATGATCTTGAAATCATGGTCAGGGTTGAAAGAGTGACAGAAGTCGATCAGGTGTTCCAGAATAGAGCTTCGCACACACTTCCTTTCTCCCTTATAAAACCAAGCTGGAATATATTCTCTTATCCGTGTGGAAAGCGTCCTCTGACCACGGCCAATGTACCTTGCTCCACAAGAGCAGGTGAACTCGTAGATGCACATGAACGTGGTCAGACGAGGGAGTTTATCTTTTACAGAGGTGGAGAACAATTTGCGGCTCGTGAACGTCATATGTAATCTAGCTGCAAAGAACGTCTTACTGACTGATTTAGAGAGACGATTTTTGAGCATTTCTGAAGCTTCATCACCTTTGAATTCCAAGTTCATGAATAAGGTTTTCTTTGAAATTGAGTCAATAAATCGGTTAGGGTAACCGTTTTCTGTGAGTGTGGCTTTTAAGAAGTCAAGTTCTGAGTCAATGCAATCAGAACTACAAATTTTCCTCATCCTAAAGCCGAGCGAATGAATTAGGTTCCTTTTCCTGGAAATAGGCACCTAACTGTAAAAATTAGTTAGTTGTCCGTTCCATGTACGTTTCCGGTGGATTTCAGTGGGAATTATTTTGTTATATATAGTCATTAAAAGACAAGTACTATTAAATTGGTTGTGTTCCCTGAGCTGCTTGTTTTAATTGCGAAGGTTTCGTCATCTACCTTCTAGACAACATCTTCAACGCAGGTTTTAGTAGAAAATGGATTTATTTCAATTCCTCATGAATGCTGTAGTTGTATCTCCTGGCACAACCCCACTGTCGTGACTAGTCGTTAATTTACATCCCTGTTGATCGGTTTTACTGACTTGTCATGTGGTGCCAATAACAATAATAATGTGTTTAAATTAAAACAATTAGTCCCTTTGATAAATTTGAACAAGGCATTAAGAAGACAAATTTCGCGAGATGATATCATTTCGTAGTTTCTTTACAACCGCTTTACAACTAACATGGTTAACAATGATAAAATAAAGTTCATGAAAATTACTCAGTTAAATAAAAACAAAAGTACATACTAATGACCAATCATATTAAGATAGGTCATGCAGTCCAGGGTAGGCGAAGATTGAAGTCTATTGATTTTTGTACACACAGTTTAGGCTGTATGTGATTAATCCAAAGTGCTTCCATCACCTTCAATAACCTTGAATTAGAGTTATGTGAAATAATTGTGAAACAGTCATTAATATTTATTTTGTGACCAGACATTAATAAGTGTTTTGCAATGGATGATGCTGGATTTCTATTAAGATTAATCGCGTTGGGATTTTCGATATGATTTACTAGCCATTTTGGAATATGTTCTTTTCGACGACATTGGAACATTCTGTTAGTTCTACCTATATAGGTGTCACCGCAGCTGCAGGTGAACTTGTAGATACAGTTTGAAGTAGAGTCCACAGAATTTCGTCCTTTAATCGTAGGAACAGGGATCGAAAATGTTCGGCAAGTGAGAAAAAGAGATGCGGCGTAGAATGTGCGTTTGATGGCTGATCGAAGTCTTTGAGTTGTCAACTGCATAATCTGGTCGCCCTTGAATGGTAGATTAATAAAGATGGCTTTCTTTGGTACAGAAGCTGTCTTTTCGAGATGTGGTTTTTCTTTGCTGTGACAAGTGATAAAGCTCTCCGGATAACCATTAGCTAATAAAACTGAATGTACATGTCGAAGCTCATCCATCAGTGTGTCACTCGTGCATATTTTTCGGGCCCTTGAGAACAAACATTTCACTAGGGAACGTTTATACTGGATAGGAACAAAACTGGTAAAATGAAGATATTGTCCAGTCCATGTTTGTTTACGAAAAATAGAGCGCTGAATCGTTCCATCATTTCTCCTAGTCATAGTAATATCCAGGAAACCAAGTTTGTTATTCGATTCTAGTTCGGAAGTCACTCGAATATTTGGATGAATATGATTAAATAGAGTAATGAAGTTTTCAATAGATTCACTATTATTACCAATAATAAGAGTATCATCTACATAACGTTTATACAGCATAAATCCTCCAAGCATACCTTGCATTTGTTTCTCTAATTTCGACATAAATATATCTGCTAACAGGGGCCCCAGAGGGCTCCCCATCGCAACACCATCGATTTGTTTATATGCCTTTTCTTGGAATGTGAATCTAATATTTTCTGTACACATTAAGATTATGTCTTTGATGTAAGTGACGGGAATGGGTAAGTTTATGCCATTGCTTGTGATGTAATCGCAAATAAAATCAACAGTTTCATGAAGGGGAACATTGGTGAATAAAGATTCTATGTCAATTGAACACATAACCTTTTCCTTAATGTTCAAGGTGTCCAGCATTTCTGTAAGATCAAATGAACTTTTTACAGAATGATTTGATAATGAGTCTCTTACAGGCGTAAGGACCTCTGTAATCCATTTGGCGATTTTATGATAAGGAGAATTTGACATGTCTAAGATGGGTCTCAGTGGGTTCCCAGTTTTGTGGATCTTCGGAAGACCATAAAGCTGAGGAGTATGTGACCCAATTGGTTTAAGTTGTTTATAAAGTTTTTCATTTATAAAACCATGCATCAGTAAAATCTGAAGCTGTCGATTGATCTGCTTTTCCACAAGCAGCACGTTATCAGTAGCATTGTCCAGCAGAAATTTGGACTGATCTTTGAGGATATCGTTCATTTTATTTTGATAATCCGATTTGTTCATAATGACAACGCCTTCTCCCTTATCAGGTTTAAGGATCACAAGATTATCTTTTTCGATTAATTCCTTAAGTGCGGCGTGGTGTTCTTTTGATAAACCATTTTTCTGGTGTATTCTAGCATTTAGAAATTGATGAGAAATGTCCACCAGTTTAACTTTAAACCAGTCCAGATTATCTTTATTAGAGGGAGTTAAATCAGAGATTTGGTCATACAGGTTTTCATACTGTGACTGGACTTCCATTTTGTTAATTTTCATGGGAATAGTTTTGTACTTCATTCCATAAGATAATGCTTCCAACTGTAGTTGGGATAGAGTGCATGTAGATAAATTAATTATATGTTTGTGGATATCTTGAGGAAATTCCAAAGTATGATTTGAGTCTTTCAAAGATTTTGTTAATTTTTCTTCGGTAGAACTTATGGTCTTTTTTACCATATCATTGCAAAATACTGTGAATTTAATTCGACATACTAAAGATAAATTATCCAAAACGGGATTTAGTCTTTGGTGTGTTTCAATAAATGTTAATCGCTGGCTGATTCACTTGAGTACCAAGCTTCCAAAAATTTCTTGACTGCATTTTTGGTGTTTCCTCGATTTCAACTTTCTACATTATCCCAACATTAAAGACCACAAGAAAATTCATCCTACCATATCAAAAAAATATCTCTGAAATAACAGCTCGAATATTAAAACCGTTTGAAATAGATATAGCACACATGTTAGCCAGTCAGCACAATCACTTCATTCATCCATATTGTGCAAACCAGAAAAAACCCATCCAACAGAAAAAGCTGATAAAATTAATACCATTTACATAATAAATGGTGTGCATCCATTGTAATAGACATTACATCGTTGGTCAAAGTGGGCATCCCCCTCAAATCAGAATCCAAGAACACGATTTGGCTCTAAAATGATATGACATATATTCTTTCATGCCACCAACACATGGACCCACACAAAAACACTTGGAGGATCTGAACTTCGCCGATGATAGATGTCTGATTTCTCACAAACACTGGAAGATATCCAAGTGATGAAAAGCGACGAGTTGGCAGAAGAAGAATCGAAGATAGGACATCAGGTGAACATAGAGAAAACAGAGATGATGAAAATTCCTGGCCGACACCAACAGCAACAACAACAGACAACAATCAGCATAAATGAGAGGAACCTGAAAGAAACAACCTCTTTTACCTACCTACCTACCTGGAAAGCATCGTCTCAACTACAGGCGGATGGAACTGATGAGGATATCAAAGCAAGGATCGGGAAAGCAAGACAAGCTTTCATTACTCTGAAGTCTGTGTGGAGGTCAGTAGCACTACTCAACATGAAAAATAAGATCCGACTTGGCGTGTCATGAAGAGTACTTCGAACAAACTAAAGACCTTCATCAACAGCAAGCTATCTTCGTTCAATACTCAAGATCAGATGGCCCGCCAAAATATATCAGCAACAGGGATCTCTGGCAATGAGCAAACCAACCAGGAACCGATTATGCAACAAATCTGCAGGATGAAATGGAGGTGGATAGGCTATAATACCCTGAGAGAATCATCAAGTGACATCACTAGACAAGCCCTCGCGTGGAACCCGAAAGGGAAGTGGCGAGTTGGTCGTCAGTGCGAGGGTGACATAGAGGAGGAGGTGATATGAAGAGCAGATGAAAGCGTGTGGGCAGACTTGGAGCCAGATGAAAACTCTAGCAGAGAACCGAACGCAGTGGAGACGCGTGGTTGAATCCCTATATTCCTCTAGGAATTAAAGGAAATAATAGTAATAAATAATAATAATCTGGTGATTAGGATAATGTTGAAATTTTGAATAGAGGAAACACCAAAATTTCAGTCAGGAAATTCGCGGAAGCCTGGTACTCAAGTGAATCAGCCAGCAATTAACAAACACACCAATTACTATAGACTAAATCTCCCAGCTAATAAAAAGCAAATCACATATGACAGGTAAGTTTAAATTTCAAGTCAATAAAAATGATCAACAGGGATCCAAATTAACAAACAGTCACGACAGTGGGGTTGCCAGGAGATACAATTACATCATTCATGGAGAATTTAAATGAGTTCACTTTACACCAAAACCTGCCTTGTAGCGATGTTGTCTAGGAGGAGGACGAGAGCCTCGTAGTTCTACCACTCTGCATATTTAAATCCAGAAGTTCGATATATGTAGAATTGAATGACCTTGATTTAAATGGCCTTCATTTGATAGACTAAAACAGTTAACGACCAATAGGGTTCAGAGGTCATAGGTAGGGGAAAATATAAACATCACTGTACTTTATAAAAACACATACCACATCACTCTCAAAAAGATTGTACAAGATAATTTACTATATTCTTCGAATGGATTTTGAAACGTACTATGTGGTATCTTTTGCAGCCGGAACATTGGCTGGGTAAAATCTCCTTTTTGACTTCCGAACTCTTTTGGCTTAGTTCTGAATTCACAAGTGGCAGAGCCCCAAAAGGTAGCTTGTGTTCTAAGGACGTGATATATCGACGTCGTATCTAGTTCTTACTGTCTTGATTGCATTCCCTATCCGGAAAATGTGAGGCGAGTTCAAGTCTTTGGGGATTGTAGAGTAGATACATACAGCCGATGACGAATCTCTAATGAGAAGAAACGCACATCTTACAATTTTCATTAATGAAAGAAATGAATAAAATCAGTAATTTAATATCTCATGATTATGGAACTTCTTCTATCCTACTATTCCCTCATGTTGAGGTTAACCATAGTTCAGTATATGATCCCAATAAATGCCCGATTCACATTAGTTACCAGATTTTAACAGGACATCTCAATAATTCACCTCAATTTACATAGTACTGAAAAAGAATCATGACGTTTTGACGAATATAGGGGAAGTATATTCAAGCTTCAAGGGCGTAAAATATAACTGATGTGTGTTGAGAGCTATCTTCTAGCCAAAATTGGTAGACAGCAATTTACGTCAATGAGAAAAAACAAGGATAAAGCCTAACCTTAAGGAACTCAACAACCAATCACAGCAAACTTTGCGTCGGCGGATACGATTCGCAGATATGTCACCTGACTGTCTAAGAAACGGTAACAAAGAGATGACAGAATAACCTTCAGCAGGAACACAGCCAATCAGTAGGCGTTACCTCTCTGTTAACAATAACGCTAATAATAATGTGCATAAAAATCTATAAATATCTGTTGATATTCTGAATAAACGATCTGTTGCCTGACCCTTGTATTCTGTCGCTACAGATGTTAGGCGTTTACACGAAAATGCTTAGTGCCACTCGTCAGAAAGGTATGTCTGCAATCTTCAGGTAACTGTGTTCTTCTCTGAGATTTGAACACTTGTCATCCAATGGTTCAGTCAGTCCGACGACTGACGTACTGTAGAACTGTAATGAAGTAAGCAATGTCATGTATGTCTAGTCTTTGCTATTTATTGGCTGCGTGGTTAGAGGTAGATGGCAGGATGCACAACAGCTAAGTTTCACTCTCACTAGTATTTGTCAGTGTGGCGTATCTTCCATCCCAAAATGAATTAACTGATGTCTATCTTTTCAATGTTATAACGAAAGAAGACAAGGGCCAGGCAACAGACCGTTTATTGAGAAAATCAAAAAACATATATTTATAGGTTTTTATGTATTTTATTATTCGTTATTATTGGCAGAAAAACAGAGTCTTCTGATTGGTTGTTTTCTCACTAAAGGCTTTTTTGTCATGTATTTGTGGCCATCTCTTTGAAGGTCAGACCGTATGTCTGCAAATCGTATCCACCCACGCAAAGTCTGCTGTGATTGGTTATTGAGTTAGTCTTTGGTCTTGTTTTATTTCCCATGACGTAAATTGCTGTCTGCCAATGTAATCGATACTGGTTTATTTATATCTTTGCCTAATCTTATAATTATGTTCATACACAAACACAAAGCATAGTTACCATCATTATTATCCTTGTCTTTAATATTTTCAGATAGATACTTTGACACGCCAATGAAACCAAGTCATCTTCATCCAAGTGTTAAAAAATGGACATGGTTAAATCCATAAAATATATATATATATATTCATATTGATTAAAAAGTAATTCTTTATCACACTTACACTCACACTTACTCACCACTTGCATCTCTTTTATTCTTTTGTTCTTTCTGTTTGTCAACTTACTTCACAAATCACTTTCGCCTGTTTGTTAACTCGTTTTCTAACACACACACACACAAACAGATATATGTGTATGTAACCAGATTACTTTTAGTTTATTCCTCTTACTAACACCTCAGGCTAATCAGTGTGCATATACAGTTCTAACGCTAACCAGATTAGTTTCACCTAATTTGATATTATTATTATTGTTACCTTGGGTTCCTAGGGGAAGATAGGACTTCAACTGCACGTATCCACTTGCCACTTCTGTCTCCCTTCTGTTGTACTTTTCACCTCCATCCATGTTAGTTAGTCCAGGCTGTTCCAACTCCTCAGCTCTTCACACGATCCCCTCCATGTCACCCACCCTTGCACTGACGACCCACTCGCCGCTTCCCTTAAGGCCTGGTTCCACTCAAGCAATGGCCTGACGCGCGCGCGATGCCACCCAGCAGCCTCCTCAGCGAGTAGTGTCCAATCCGTCTTCATCCACTTTCTCCTGCATATTTGTTGGTTGGCGATTGGTTCTTTCTTTGTTTGTTCACATAGTTCCTTGTTGGTGATTCTTTCCGGTCATCTGATCTTCAGTATAGAGCGAAGACAGTTGTTAATAAAGGTCTGCAACAGGCTGTTGGAAATATTCTTTGTGTAACCAAGTTTCTGATCCGATCCGTATAGAAGAACTGACTGACTTGACGTTTGTTTGTATTGAATTGAATCCGACCTAATTTTGTTGTTGATTCTGGCTGAGTGACGAAGATTTCCAGATTGGTTTCAGGTTAATGATGAATGTGTTTCTCGCCCACCACCCGATTCTCGCTCGATTTGACATCCTCGTCCGTTCCGACTGCCTGTAGTTGAGACAATGCTCCCTAGGTAAGTGAGTGAATGAAGTAACCTCTTTCAAATCCCTCTCGTTGATGGTGATTGGCGCTGTATGTTGCTGATGCTGTTGTTGTTGTTGTCGTTGTTGATGGTTGGTTAGTTGGTTATTTTCATAACCTCCGTCTTGTCTATGTTCACCTGGAGTCCTGTCTTCACCGGCTGCTTCTTCAAACGACCAGTTTGTCGGTCGGTTTTCGCTTGTAAGTCTTCGATTTTGTGACAGAGACATCAAACATAAGTCATCCACGAGCGAAATCCAGGTCTTCTAGGTTCTTCACGTCGGTCGGTCCAGGATATCCCTGTCTTGTCGTTTCCCACCCACTGTCTGACGCATAATACAGTTCACCACAATTAGGAATATCAGTGATGATAGATAATAAGCACCTTTTTCTGACTTCTATGTTTACTGCAAACGCCTGACTGAGTTTTTCGTTGTGGATCACTTGACATGTTCCGTTGTTGTACAGCTTTTGAATAAGGTTGATGAATGTTTCGGGTACGCTGTAGTACTCGAGTAGTTACTATCGAAGTTAGACCCAAGTTATTAGATTGTTTTCGCGATTGATGACCAAAAATGACTTCCATCAGAGAACGAATGAGGAACACTGAGGACTGCTGGACAGATGTTTTGTCCTTGTTTCAGACTCTTCAGCAGCGGTGACTCACGAATATACCAGGAGTCGAACTAAGAATCTTCAGGTTATAACTCTAGCCACGCTTCTCCCCTAACTGATGAGAGATATAGGTTGACTGCCAGATACTGTTATCGAAGACTATTTTTCCCTAAGACTCACCAGTTCTCACTACAAATCCAGACAGTTTTATTCTGTAGTCACTCACTGGCTGAGCATTAGACTCACTTTAAAGTATTGATTTTTTAGCGATTTGACTGATTTAAAGGTAGATCATCAGTCGACTTCAGCGAGAGAACCACTGAGAGTAAGTGTGCTTGGGGAGTGGTATTGCACATCTGTTTTCTGCTTGATTAGGACTCTCCCTTCGTGATCAGTTTTCAAATCAACCAACATTTTAATATTTCAGATTCTTATTGAAGTACTGGAGAATGAATATATATAGGTTGCAGTGACACTCTGAATTGCAGTAGGATACAAACTCACAGCCTATGGACTGGTAACTCTAAAATCGCTGGTTCGATTCCCTAAGTAAGAAGATTGGCACACACACACATTTCCATTACATCAACGAATCGCTTTACCATATTTTTTGATCATATATTTCTGTTTTTTCCTTGAATTCCAAGTTCAGGACAGGGCTTCAACACCCCATCCTTATTTCACCCCATTCTCTGAGGTCCTAATGGGCTGGCTCCATAATCGTTAATATGCTTTCATCTCCTCCTCACAGGATCTCTCCCCCCCCCCAATACCACTCGGGTTCCAGGCGACGGAATGCCGGGTGATTGATGTCATGTAACAGCGTGTTTTCAGCGTCTATCTGTCCTGGCATCTGACACTCAGTATCAAATGAAGGCAGCTTTTGATGCAAGTCTTTGGGAACTTGTTAGAAGTGTTCTTGGTAACATGAACACCAAGTCCCAGGACCCTATGGGAGCACTGATTTGACCTGTATTCTGTTCCTTATTCTGAGAGCATTAGATTTACACTTAGATTGATTTGCCATCCTGGATTGCTTCGACATCCACTTTTGTGCTGCATTTATTGGAAACAATGCTCTCTAGGTCAAATAAATGAAAACGGTGACCTCCTATAGATTCTTCTTGCTGATGGAGGTTGATGTTGTTGTTGTTCTTGTTGATTAGATGTCAGCATCGTCTATTTCTTCTCTATGTTCACTTGAAGTCCTTTCAAGTGAAAATATTCATTCAGACATCTTTAAAACACAAAATAATTGAGCAAAGAATATCCTTTTCGATAAATTCCTCTTCCGACTCTACAATTATATATACATTCATGTTTATATACATAGAATATTCTAGATTAGTAGTCAATAACAATATTAGTGTGTTTTTTAAATAATGTCGATTTGTAAAGTAAGATCACAATGGAATTATCACAGTTCATTAAAGATGCTTAAATAATAATATTAATAGTAAAGATATAGTAGCAAATACAATATCAACTAAAATTAGGAAAATTTCACAAAAATTCGGGATTATTCAAACATAGATGGCCACTGAGGTAATGATAATGTCTGAAATAACTTTTTTTGTATGCATAAATTAGGCTTGTTAAAATGGACCTCCAAAGCCAGTCTCAGCAATATCTAGTAGTCGAACTCTTAAGGCAAAATTGAGATTCGTTGGTATGCGGTAAATGACCTTGAAAGCAGCCTGGTTAACATCAATCTTGTGTTCTGTATACACGAGATGAGATAGAATAGCGCTGTGAATAGATTTTGTTCGTCGTTTGCTTAACCACGCTCCTGTGGAGACAGTTACATAGGCCGTACACTTGAGCGTGTTCCTCGTCGAATTTCAGAAAATCACCCTGCATAGTGGATAAGCAAAAGACAAGCAAAATCTATTCGCAGCGCTATTTCTATCTCATCTTGTGGATACAGAACACAAGATTGATGTCAACGAGGAAGCTTTCAAAGTCATTTACCGCATACTAACGAATCTCAATTTCGCCTTAAGAGTTCGACTACTAAATATTGCTGAGACCGGCTGTGGGGATCCATATTAACAAACCTAATTTATGTGTCTAAAAGAAGTTGGTTGGTTCAGACATTGTCCTTACCTTGGCCATCTAGGTTTGAATGATCCTGAATTTTTGTGGAATTTTCCTAATTTTAATTGATATTCTAGTTGCCATTATACCTTTATTATTATGATTATAATTTAAACATCTTTAATGCACTATAATTCCACTGTGATCTTGCTTAAGAAATCGATATTATTTAAAAAACACTAATATCGTTATTGACTACTATTCTAAAATATTCTATGTATATAAACATGAATGTATATATAATTGCAGAGGTAGAAAAGGAAATTATCGAAAAGGATATTCTTCTTTGCTCAATTATTTTGTGTTTTAATAAGCAATAAACTGCTGACGTTGTTCATCAGTGAGTACATCGACTACTACAAGAACTGATCACTAACTGATAACGTATCTAAACTTACACGACTTTAGCAGTAATTTAGATCAAATGACTTCACGGTAACTCAGAGTTCGAAACAACATCATGTAATGTTTCAGGAGTAGATATCATTAACGTGAGTTATTCACACTGTGAGTAATCCAGTATGGCATTAGATCAAGCACATATGTAAGTTCTCTAATCTTACCTAAATTTCTGTAAGTCATTGATAAAATTAAGTTCCTCAGTGTTAAAAGTTAGGAATCAATTGACTTTATGTCTGTAACCCTGAGAGACCTCACACTCACTGTAGAACTTGTAGGTGTGTCAAACAGTAGCGAAATTACAAACTTCATACGCCTACATTGGTCTATCTATGTCAGGTGATGGAGGTCGAAATCTCAAAGAAAACATAAATTTCATTCAAATTTTAAATTAACTCCCGGTTTTAGCTCCGGGATCGCCAATATCAGGTTTAATTGGAGAAGCAGTGATTCAAAGGCTCGATAACATAATCCTACCAAAGATCAAAACCAAAATTTGGATACGTTACGTCGACGACACATTTGTAATAATCAAAAGAAACGAGTTAGATAAAACTCACAACTTAATAAACAACATCTTCAACGACATCAAAATCACATCAGAAGAGGAATCCGAGAACCAAACCCCATTTTTGGACGTCTTAGTCAAGTGAACAACCACAAAGGAATTAGAAACTCAAGTTTATAGAAAATCAACTCACTCAGACCAAATACTGAATTACAACAACAGCGACAATCCAATAACACACAAAAGGAATTGCATACAAACACTGTTCAAGAGGGAAAGGACTCATTGCAGCACTCCCATCTTAAGAAAAATTGGAGAAAAATATATCATTGACGTCTTCCAAAAGAATAGATATCCACGGAATTTCATCAAAAGACATATACCCCCAAGCCAACCTATCAAACCAAAGGCTCCTAAGGAAGGCACAAAGAAAT